TACGAATGTGTACATGTGTTTATAAGAATGTCTGCGCTCCAATGTGTATGTGTGGGAGTACTCTGACTGACTGCGCCCATGTGAATCAATGTGTTTGTGCTGTGGGAAAGAGAAATATTGGACAGAGCAGTAAATAACATAATCCAGCTATTAGGTTCTGTTCCCCACGACATGGACATGCACTGTACACACCCTCACAAGGACATGACTCGTGGGAAATTATACGAATTTTCTCTCAGCTTTCTTCATATTTACTGCTGATGCACAAGCAATCACACCATGCTTCCCCCCTCCACGGCAACAAATGCAGCACGGAGCGAAAGACGTGTAATCCAATTTCCTTTGTGTATTATTGTTATTATTGGTAGATATCAAAATGCATCACAAACGTATTATAAATCATCACACTATTTCATACCCAAGAACAGCTCCACTTCCATCAGCGTGGCTGCACCGAGGGAGGACTGAGTGAGTGCACGTTTGAAACGCCGACATTTCAGTGGCAGCATTAGCACAGGGAATAATTTACTCTTTTTGTTTTTCTCACAGTTTCAACACCTTATTTCAATTAATCTACACTCGGCTGAACGACTTGAAAACCAGTGGGTTATTAATTTATTGTCCACCCACTATATTCTCCCGGTCCCCACACAAACACTGTTTCTAATGGCAGAATCAGACTTTGAATTGCTCAGGATTCCATTGACTTTTTAAACATTTGCTATTGCTTCTCCATTAGGAGGAGAAAACCACCCAGGATTCATATGTAAAGGCCCTTTTCCACTGGTCAAAAAACTCACTAACACTCCCTGACGTCTGGTTTTTGTCTGTGATGGGAATGGATTCAACCGGCATTCACTCCCGGGTCAAATGACTTTGCAGTTGACACAGGTTTTTGGCGGTGATGGAAACAAGACACCAGGGTGAACACGCTAATTTGGCAAGACAGCGCCTCAGTTTTCGCTGCATTTGGGATGTCGAGTATTATGTCAAGCAGATAAAGTGTAGAAAAGATTTTTCAATCTTATCACAGAATAAGTGTCCCCACAAAAATGGAGCTAATAGGTGGATCTCCTGAAGGGCCTTGTTTCACATCACCAGATTATTGCATGACAGAGGAGGGGATGAGGGAGCTCTAATGATTATTTTAACTTTTCATGTGGCAAATTAGCTGAAAGAAATGCTAAATGCATGTTCCCTTCCCATTTTTCCTGCTTCCCTCACAAGATAAACAGCACCTGATAATGTTTTTGAAACATTACCCTGATGAACATTCATGCAGCGCCGACTAAAAGTGAAGCTATTAAGCATAATATAAAAGACGCACGCGCTGTCAGTATTCATTTGTCACCGCGGCATGACTGCTGAGTCCTGGTACAGGCTCATCTGGGCTTCACCTGAGAGCACTGATGTCGTGTGCTTGTGTGTGAATGCGTACATGTATGCATATGCTCTGACAACATTCAAAAAGCCACGCTCCTCACCTGGATTCCTGTCTCAATGTCTGTCATCAATCCCAGACCTCTAACCCCCAGTGGTAATAACAGAACATCGGAGATACAGTCAAGTGCAACAACGTGTGGGCGTCCAATCAAACAAACAGGTTATGAATATGTCTGTCCCAACTATTCGGGGGGAGGGGGGCTCTTTGGAGAGCAGCACTGCATGCGCTCACACTCTGTGACAGCTAATTGAAGGTTCCCCTAGGGCTGAGTGCAGCAGAGACATAATAATCAAGGAGCCTGTCCTATATAGCCCAAACTTGGGATTTGCTCCTTTTGTCATAATCAAAGGAATATTGCACAGACGTGTGTTTCCACAGCCGAGAACAGAAAGATCTGGTCCGTGTTATGCATCACAAAAGGTATGGAAAACACTGCAGCAGCACTAGTGGCAACACATCCCCTCACCGGCTTGACTCGCAATATAAACGTATCCACTCAGACATCTATGAGAGGAAGTGAACGGCCTAGAGGATTGTCCGGTTTAATACCTGCGGGTTAATTCCTCGCAGCTTTCATTGGATTAAATTAAACCAAGCTATGTCATAAAGGTAATAAGATTATTGTGTTGCTGGCAGGATTACGGTCTGACACGCTACGTACACATGGAACAGCAGTGGTCAGAGAGACGCTGCATTGTTTATGCACGGATCTCTTTGGGAAGCATAGCCTACATTCACATTAGCCTCTTTTTCACACAGGAAAGAGGATTAGCTTGCATCACAAACATGAAATGAAACCTCCCTACAGGATTATTCTAGCCCTTCTACTTTGTCTTTTCATAATGTTTCTTGTTAATGAAGCTGTTTACTGACAGCTGTATTTCTGTGATGGTGCACATGACTTTTAGCAATACCAGCACCGTTTTTATTCTCTCTCCCTGTCGCACAGACATTGGATTAGTAAATCCGCCACACGCCCCTTTCCCAAACCCAAAACCATCCATTTTGCTATGGGGCAACCCCCCTCTAAAGCTTCAGTAGAGCCAAGTCCCATTAGTTATTGCCTTGTATTAACCAAGTCGGACATTAATTACCGCCACAGTTTCGTTGATAGCAGGTAACAAGAAAAAAAAAAACACTTCAAAGAAATGTCATTGTACATGTTGTAACTAGAGCTCGGAGCTCGACATCCCCGGCAAGCCACGACAAGCAGCCGCTCTTGACGGAGGAGTGTAGACAAGATACAGTTGTTAGTTGACATGCTAAAGGAATGTGCTCGGATCACAGCAGATGCCTCTTTGATTTATTGGCTGTAGTCGCGGGCCCTTCATCTTATATCATGCTGCCGAACGCTGATTGATTTTCATTTTTATTTCTGTCTGGATCCTAAACTACCCACCTATCAAGGTTTCCGTCTCATCCTCTATCATCTTTCATACTTTGGAAACGAGAAACCTACAAAGGGCCCCGTGGTTTCTTGGGAATATTCTGGAAGTTTGCCAAGCAACTCTGACCCAGATGTTTAAAAAGCAACAATGATAATAATTTACTCGCTCTGTCGACACACAATCGTTTCCTTTCAGACAGCAGTGCGAGAGTGAAATTTGCATGTCTTTTTTTCCTGTGACGATTACTTTCACCTCTGTGAGTCCTCTCAGTGAGTCGTGACAAAAAAACAAGGGTTATCGCAATAAAAGGGTATTGGTGCAGAATAGAGACAGGCATTTCTCCCAGCCTGCTAAATGCTAGTGCAGAGAGGACACTAAGCACAGGTTTTCTCTCAACCGCTGTGACAGGACGAGCGGCCGAGGATTTCACCGTTGAGTAAAAGGATGCAGGTAGAGGAGGAGAGGCGAGACGAAGCTGAGGTGAAGCCAGCCAGCCAAATCTGCCTTCAGCTCGGTGTCAAAACAGCCAGTCAGCTGTGTACACCTTCATGTCACCTCACCTGCTTGTGTGTGTGTGTGTGTGTGTGTGTGTGTGTGTGTGTGTGTGTGTGTGTGTGTGTGTGTGTGTGTTTGTGTGTGTGTGTGTGTGTGTGTGTGTGTGTGTGTGTGTAGCTCCATAGCCCCCACCAGGAGGGAGAACACAGAGTCATCTCCTCTGGTCAATAGAGCCTAATTCGCCACAGGTAGCAGGCAGCCTCAAAGACGATTTCCCTTCAGCTCAACTGTGCTGAAGCCTTTCATCCACACCTTGGGGCCTACGGTGATAGTAGCAGAGGTGTGTGTGTGTTTTGGGGGGGGGGTTGCTATCAGCCTGACCCATTAGAATCCCCCCAGAATCCGCTGGACGACAGAAACTGTCTTCTCCTCCTGCTGCTTGGCCGCATTTGTTCCTGAATTTTCCCGTCGTTGTTTCCTTTGTGTGCATCTGTTTCTCTCACCCCCCACCTCTCTCTCTTTCTCTCCATCTATATATATTTCCCCTTGTCCTGCCTCTGACTCGCTCCTCTCTTTGTCACGGCGTCTCTTCAGTGTTTTCGCTCGCCGTTGTGCCACAGAGAGCGACAGTGCTCCGCTCGAGCAGCGCAACAGCACCTCTTCACATTCTCTGCATGCTCTACAGGCAGCCTAATGGAGGAAATCAAAGTACTCAAATGTGATTACATTCAGTATGTGCATTGCATTCCAATCAGAGCCCCTTTGACTGATAGAGCTTTTCCTTTTTTAAGGGATGTTTTTCTTTGTGTACTTGGAGGTTTGCAGCAGATTGATATAAAACAGCTCCTATTTATCCACATTTCATCAATGAAAACTCCCTTATGTTCGACTTTTATGATTTGTAATTACAGTGGCTTGCTCACGTCTCTCTGCTGCATCACATGAAAAATGTCTTCATAGTTTTTTCCTTAGTGGTTCATGTTAAATGTAAGGAGTGCACTATTTTCTCCTTTCTCAGGAAACATATTGTTTTTGCCCGGGGCGCTGCATGAGTTACTGCGCACCTGTTTCATCAGAGTCTGAGAAACAACTGTAAACTTAAGGTTCGAGGCTCCGCTGCCACTGCACATCCAGGTTTCTCTGTTGCTCTGGTGAAATTTAATCAGCCATGCCACAAAATCTCCCAGGCAAGAGCAATTTGCCAGGCCGGAGGATGTTTCTGTAATTATCGTCTTGTTCGCTGCAGACTGAGTGCCTTGGATAAGCCATAGTCAACGGGAAGGCAAATACGCTTGTTGCACAAAAGCACTTAGCAGCAATTTACACAACAGGATACTTTGGGTTTATAAGCATTACACTGTTAGATTTTGAGAGAAAAATTAGGAATGGTTCTCACCGGGCGTACCATTAAAGTTTTGTGGGGCACGTGGGTACCAGAAGGTCAGGGTTTGAACTCCTGCCACCGTTTTCCCTTCACTTGGTATAAACCATGATCTGACCCAGGGGTCCCATACAAATGCACCGACTCCAAAGGTGATACTGCTATTTGCTTTTTTTTTTTATTCCCTGTACTACATCGTGTTTTCATAAAGTTAAATATATGTCCTTGTGAGAATCAAACTCCAATAATGAAATAGTTTTATAATACTGCTCCACCCTCTCTTTCTTCTCAGCTCCACCACAGTCAGAAGTCACCATGTCCCCGCAGCCTCAGAGAACCACCACCACCACCACCACCACCACCACGGCGCACCGGGGCGTGGCAAACACCACCACCACAACAGGGCTGAAGGAGGGCAGCAGGGGAGCGCCCAAGCCGCCTCCCGTGATCCCGCAGACGACTTCCCCTCCACCTCTGGAGTCTTTCCCTTTACCCGAGCGTTTCTGCGAAGCCACAGAGAAGAGAGACATAATGTGGCCTCAGACCCAGAGGGGCATGCTGGTGGAGCGACCTTGCCCCAAGGGAACACGAGGTAAACAGGCAACCGCCCCCGCCCCGCCGCCTCTCACCTCAGGGCCGTGTAGTCGCTGCTTTCGATATGACCTGTACGGTTTGTTAGATCTGTCTGATATCCTGGCACACAATATTTTTTTATCCGTAACAAGCATCAGTTTCAGTGGTAAAAACACTTTGTTATGCTTTTAGGTTTTAACTGTGTCATCGCAGGTCGAAACATGATGAAGCGATGTGTAACGGCTGTGTTGCAGGAAATAGGACCCAGCTGCTTCTCTCGGAGCGTAGAGACGTGCAAACCTCATTTGGTTTTGTGAAATAAGGACTAATTAGGATGTTATGAGTTTGTTGCAAAAGCTGGCATAACAACCTTTTTGGGGGGAATAATAAAGTTTGTAGTTCAAGACATTCAACAAATTTTAAATTATTTGTCCTCTGACATTATTGGAACTTATACAATATATCTGTAAGGGGCTAATATTTCTGTCTGCATACAGAAACAGACTCTGTGGCTATTTGTAAGATATTAATGAATTTGCATGTTTGTAAATATGTAGTTTGTGTGGGATTTCTTCTTGTTTTTATTCTTTTGTTGCCCTGTGAAGGACTTCATAAGTAAAATTAATTCTACATGACTACTCCTGCTCTTGTTTTCCCTTTCAGGCACAGCGTCTTATTTATGTGTCCTCTCCACCGGGGCCTGGCACCCGAAGGGCCCTGATCTCAGCAACTGTACCTCCCACTGGGTCAACCAAGTCGCCCAGAAGGTTTGTGTGGGCAATGGCGTTCTGTTTTCTTTCTGAGCAGAGAGAGTTTCTTTAAAAAAAAAAAGGGTAGAGGGTAGACAAAATAGTGAAAACGCAGCCTCATGAAGAAGTTCAACGCTGAATAACTTCACTGTTACAGATATTGCAGTAAATCTGGGTCAGATTAACTTGAAAGCACAATTTGAGAAAAGAGGACTTTGATATGTGTTTCATAAGTAAAACGCTGCGGAGGCTAACATCTGTACTTCAGATGCAAAATTTAAAAAACTGATATAGCATCAAGCACATATATAATGTAGATATGAAGGGTGACGTATGTGTTGTATATAATAGTTGCACATGTAATATTTTGCCTTTAATACTACCCGACTTTGTAGGATTGTATTTGCCTCCAAGTTAAAGGCCTTCCATATGAACCCTATTTTCTCCACGCTGTGCATAATGTGTGTAGATCTAAGAGCAGATATAGCAAGTAGCTCACTGTGTACCTGTTTTTTTCACAACTTACCACACAGTTAAAAAGAAAACTGCTACCATGGCAACGTCTCCGGCGTGAAGAAAAACTAAACCCTCTTTTTTCATAAATGGCATTTGAAGGACTCATTCAAGTGTGAATTGATGCCAGAAACGTGGCTGTAAAGAACCATCCACGTCTGTCTTCTTGCATTCTTGTGAACCTCGCTCTACGGCCCCACCCCCCGCCCCCCTCCACAGATTCGCAGTGGTGAAAATGCAGCTAACTTGGCCAACGAGTTAGCCAAGCACACCAAGGGCCCCATCTTCGCCGGGGACGTCAGCTCGTCCGTGCGCCTCATGGAGCAGCTGGTGGACATCCTGGACGCTCAGCTGCAGGAGCTGAGGCCCAGCGAGAAGGATTCTGCGGGGCGGAGCTTCAACAAGGTAACCGCATCCACCAGAAAATAAAAGCGTTACTCTCAGTGATACTAACTCCATTATCTCACATACTCTCTACAGTCAAGGTTCACTTGGCCGAGGGGCTTACGTGTATCTTTTAAATGACAAATGCATAAATTTATTTCACTTCCCCCAAAACTCTGCAGTGATACAGTTTGTAGCTGTGACTGTTTGTCATGTAGAGTGTGTTCCTTTCTTTTCAAAGGAAAAGAGAAAAACAGAACAAAAACTGAATAGCTGCATGATTTCAGGCTCTGACAAGGAACATACATTTGTATTCACAGCAGCATTTTGTGCATTTCTAGTAAAGGCCATAATTTGGCTCATAATGCTTCTGCGATGTGTCAGTAAATGCAGCATTTCTCTAATGTGAGCCGAAGCCCTTTTATTCTTCACTCTTCAGGTAAGCAGGTCAGCGACACACCAGACAGTGCACTAAGCGATGGGCTGGGACTTTGACTTAATATTTTTCATCCAGCACTTAGTCAGGACCTTGTTCTACAAATCCTTTTTACTTGTGCAAATGATGTCTCTGTTTTTATATGTTCTTTTTTTTTCTTTCTTTTCTAATTAAAAAAAAGCTTCAAAAACGAGAAAGGACATGCAGGGCATACATGAAGGTACTGGAGCAATGCTTGTGCCCACTCTTCTTGCTGCCTACCCCCCCTCCTCTGTTCCTGTATCTGCCCCCAGCCCAAGTCCAGCAGCATGTAACCCCTGCACTGTTGTGTCCTCCTCTTCTCCCTGTGCTTCCTGCTGTCTTTTTGTTTTCGAGTAATTGCCCTACACACAGACACAATTGTACCCAAGGTGCTTTCTCAGTCAAAAGAGAAGTCAAGTCCAGTTACTGAGGCTTCTTCTCGTGGATGTATATATGTGTCTCTGTGTTTTTTTATGCTTTGACAGTAATGGTGCTTTTTGCTTTTTTCATTCTGTTTTGTATGTTTTCTGAGTGTCCAGTCAAGATTGCACGCCTGGATGGATAACACCGCTCAGTTCTTACATTCCTCTCATTGTTCATTCGCTGCAGCTCTGTCTGTTTAATAGGGTCAGACAGGTCAAATCATTTTTTCCCCGTGTTTCTTTGAATGCTACCAGGTTAGGTCCACACGTCAGAGTATTTTGTCCATATATAACTCTCTACCTTTAGGGAGCTCATTGTCCTACACCTGCCACCAAAGTCACCCCCCCACAATCCAGATCTCTCCTTTGGGAGGGTATTAAAATGGATTGAGCTAATTAGCCAGTCAATGGCCGTGCGCTCATAAAAAGAAAAGAGAGAAAAAGGAAAAGAAAAAAAAATGCACACGTGTCATCGCACCACTTTTACCCTTAAAAATGTCCCATCATCATTTTGGTTTTTTTAAATGTCACAACATGTAGATTTAAAGTCTGCGGCCGTGATGGCATTGGAGAGGGTTTGTCGATGTAAATGACTGCACTTATTTGACTAATGACAGAAAGACATGTGGGACACAGATTGTTGAGTCAGTGGAATCTGACATCTGCCAAACCTGACGCAACATCGCATTAGCAACCCACCGCCGCCAAGCGCCCCCACCACCCCCAACCTCTGCAGCCGTCGCCTGCACTGAGGATCTGATTAGACTTATTGATTTGATCATTTCCTGAAGAAAACCCAGCGTCGCGGTGTTCTGATCAGCTTCCAGTGTTTGCGTGGGTTTTTCTTCGTCTTCCTCCCACACACAGATATGCAGATTATTAATATTACCTTAGTTTGAATGCAAGAGTGAACGGTTGTTTCTATATGTCGGCCCTTTGATGGACAGGCAACCTGTCCAGGGTGTACAAGGTCTCTCAACCATGTCAGCTGGGATTGGCTCCAGCTCCCCCTACGACCTTCAAAGGGATAAGATATAGATAATAGATGGATGAATGGATAAAGTTCTGTACTTATCAGAGCTTTTTGTTGGGAGATTGAATGACTTATTGTGCAGTCAAGTGATTTTAAGTACGTACAAAGTTAAAGAAAAGAAAAGTTCCTCCACGTCAGATGCTGAACTTTGCAATTAGATCATTTCGACAGCTTTACTTTGATGTTCATCAGACCATCTTCTTAATATCCTGTATTTAGACTTGATGGGCTCCTCGAGTCTGACCTGAAGCAGTGTCCTTGAAAAAGAAACTAAATCCACATCAACGTCAACGATGCTCATGTTTGTTTTTATATCACGATCAATAGTGTTAATAGTTTCTTTCTTATCTATTAAATATCTGCATTTAATAGTTTTTTTCATATATACAATCAAATGTACTTTTAGTTTCTTTATTTTATTTTCTCATCGTGTTCATTTTAATCCCAACAGATGTGATTCTACAAGCCACAGCATTTCATTCATTTCATCTCAGTGTCTGCATGTCACTGCTCATGCTTGCAAATATTTATTTATTTGTTTTCATTTTCGCAGAGTTACTCAAATATCTTTGTTTTTCTTTTTGTGTGTGTGTGTGTGTGTGTGTTTGTTTTGGTCTGGACTCAGGCCATTGTGGACACAGTCGATAACCTTCTGCGACCAGAAGCCTTGAAGTCCTGGCAAGACATGAACAGCACGGAACAAACGCACGCGGCCACCATGTTGTTGGACACTCTGGAGGAGGGGGCGTTCGTCCTCGCCGACAACCTCATGGAGCCCGCCTTCGTCAAAGTTCCTGCAGACAACATAAGTAAGTAAGGCAGGAGTTTGTGGTAAGCAAGCGACGGGCGTGCTCGATTGATGTAAAGCTCGGTTAATTTCATTACCTTCAATTCGTCGAGAGAGAGAGAGAGAAAACAAGGCCGCCACTTGAAAAAGGACTTTGTTTTCATAATAAGCATTTAAACCTCGGGGGAAGGGAAAAAAACAACGTGTATTAGGTTTAACGAGTCGCTTACTGACAAAGTGATGAATATCAGACAATTAAATAGACTGGATTCTCTGATTGCGCACGCTTAGTTTATAAATGTATGCGTCTAGACCTTGTAACTCTATACATTAATGTGAACATTAGCCGTCTGTGTGAGTCAGAAAAAACTACATGGCTTATCCACAGCCTCTTTTTCCCTCCCTCATTGACTTCAGGATGAACATGAAGGTTTTCTCTTTGCTCCTCTCTCAGGGCTGTTTTCATGTATTAGTAATTCAATGATCACCTTGTAACATTTTTATTCTGTGTCCTTTTGTGTTGATGACACATTGTCTGATCTCTGCAACATTTCAAGTCGTGTAGAAATGTCAAAGAAAGCTTTAGTATCAACGTACTCCACAGTTAAGTCTTTTCAAAGTTACTTAATGACCAATATCTCTTTTTCTCTTATCCCTCCATTTTTCTTCTTTTACCCACCTGTTTCCGCCCTCCACACAATTCAGTCCTGGATGTGTACGTGCTCACCACAGACGGCCAAGTTCAGGATTTTAAATTCCCACAATCCAGCAAGGGGGGCGTCTCAATCCAGCTCTCGGCCAACACTGTCAAGCTCAACAGCCGGAATGGTAAGATCTCCATCAAACACACCAATAGAAAAGAAGAGAGAGAAACTAAGAGATACATGTCTTCTGCTCTGCTTGTTTCTTTGAAAAGGTGAAAGGTTTTTCTTTGTTCTACCTTTTTTTACACCAAAATTAACAGAGAGTTTTTTAATCGTGAATAAATGCGTTTAAGAAAGGCGCCAACACTCAGAAGTTCAAATGATCACGTTGAGCCAGAAATGATACAGCGTCAGCCTCTAGACAGCTAAAGAGGAAAAAGAAGAAATTAGCACATTCACCTGGTTGTCATGTTTCCATCACCGTTGAGCTGGGTCAATAAAATATCTCATTTGCTGATTCTATCCATTCCCATAAAAGACAAAAACCAGATGTTCGTGGGTTTGAGCTTATTTTTTGTCACCACAGTTTTCATACATTTTCTTAATCGTTCTAGAAGCTGGATTTTCCTCATCCTCTGTTTTTTCCCTCTGTCACTCTGCAGGAGTTGCCAAGCTGGTGTTTGTCCTCTACAAGAACCTGGGCCAGTTCCTCAGCACAGAGAACGCCACCATTAAGATGGCCAACGAGGCTTATGGCCGCAATGTGTCAGTGGCAGTCAACTCCGACATCATCGCCGCCTCAATCAACAAAGAGTCCAGCCGCGTATTCATTAACGACCCGGTGATTTTTACCCTGGAGCACATTGATGTGAGTGTCCCTGCTGGAATGAAAGGAGAGGTCATATTAAAAAAACTCCAGGAGGGAACATCCAGAGTAGACAGAGATCTGCAATTTGAATTGTAAATGTCTGACTAGGTCAGTCGGCAGTTTATTTAAGTCATTGAACATCAAATTAAAGGAGTCTTTAGAACCTAAGTGAATTCTTAATGAAAACTAATTCTTTAATCAACATTGGGATATAAATGATACCCATTTTCTTTTATAGTGGGGGGAATTAGCTCCTAGATTAGCCATACAATCTAGGATGAAATTACTGGAGCACCAATTATCTTTCGTCTTTTAAAGTTGTCACTAGAGTTCCCAGAGGGCCGTGCGTGACTCCATTCTTTATCAGACAAAATTGTGCAATTCCAAAGGCATGCCGTCAAACAATTATGCCTCTCTGTTATTAAAGCCTCATATACGTGACCATGCTTCGGTTGATTTTGCAAGCATGTGCCAAATGAGATACAACATATGATTTGCTTCATAAGAGCTGTGAAGTGAAAAATCCTCATCCATGTCATTGTGGTGAAAAATACTTGGTGTGAGTAGGGGGTAAATGGCCTCTGTGTTCTACATGTACTTCAATTTCAGGCAGTCAATTATTTGGACACTTAACCATATCTCTTGTTATCTGCAGATGGAGCACTACTTCAACTCCAATTGCTCCTTCTGGAATTACTCTGAGAGGAGCATGATGGGATACTGGTCCACCCAAGGCTGCAAACTCCTGGATTCCAATAAAACACACACCACCTGCTCCTGCAGCCATCTCACCAACTTTGCCATCCTCATGGCACACCGTGAAATCTCAGTATGTCACGTCTGTTCTGTCATTTTATTACAATTAAAATATCTAAATGTACTTTTATGCAGTTTATTTGAATCTAAAACTTTAAAGTAATTCTCTGTTCTTCACACCACAACAACTCAAATGAATGAAGACACTTGTTGTCAAATGCTATGACAGGTTGTGACCTTAGTACAACAAAGTTTATCTGTGCTTTGAAAGTGTTTTATTATCTTTACTATGCACAAACTACTCAACCAATTTCTACTAAATTTTGTGGATGGGTGGGACATGGGAAATTGACATGAGAACTATTCATGTATCTTGATGTAAGAAACCTGACTGACATTTATAAGTTTGTGCAATTTGGTGCAGATCCAAATTAAAATCTGGATCTAGTGAATTTAAATGTGGTTTCATAAGGGGACGGTGGGGCCTTGGAGTGATGTGGACTACTGATTGACATTATAGTTATTTATAACATATATATGTGTCTGTATTTTATTTATTTTTTGATGCAAAAAGGAAATAAATCCAGGCACTCTTACTGTGTAAAAATTAAAAAGCATTTATTATTTGGGCTAACACATGGCATAGATAAAAAAACTCATTGCGACACCCGGCCTTCATCAGAGTGACTTATTAGGAGTAAAGGAAGAACAAGTATAAACCTGGGAGATATCAGGTAGTGATAGTTATCACAAGATACAGAGGAGGAGACTCTGTTTCCCAAACCGACTCTCTGTTTTTTTGTCTTTTTAATATTTTTTTCTTCTTAATCAGTAATATATTATCAATTGTTTTTTGATAAGGTCTCATTATGGTTTTGTAAGTAACTAGAATGGCACTCAGTAGAACACATTTGACCTTCAAGTCAATCAGGCCAAAAATAAAAATTTCCCTAATTGCCTGATTTTCTTTTAAATCTCAAATCATGAATTATTCTCTGGGAAATTGGTGAAACTGCATGTTTTATCATACTGTTTCATTCCTTCCCTGTAGACTTAATGCGATAACTAATTTGTTCCTATTCCTTATCATATTTCATAATTCTGCCTTTAACCCTCTCCCTCCTCCAGGTTAACGACAGGGTCCACGAGTTGCTTCTCACCGTCATCACTCGCGTCGGGATCGTGGTGTCTCTCGTCTGCCTGACCATCAGCATCTTCACCTTCTGCTTCTTCCGGGGCCTGCAGAGCGATCGCAACACCATCCACAAGAACCTGTGCATTAATCTCTTCATCGCCGAGTTAATATTCCTAATTTGTATCGATATGACGGAACCCAGGGTAAGCCGGGACGACTGCGCCCTATTGATTTGGTTTTGATTCATTCCCTGTCTCTTTATCTCCTCCCGCTCCCATAAAGCAACAGAAGACCTTCTCCGAGTGAAATTGATGAGACTTTAAGCATTGTTTGTTTCTAACCTTCCCTGCTTGTCCCTGACACGACACGAGTGGGACAGCACCATTAATATAGATTACTAAAGGGCTGTGTCTTCCACTTGACAAGTTGTTTTTTCTCCTTCACTTAAAGCTGCAGTTTCCATGGTGGCACCCATACAAATGTTTCTCTTTTTTTTATTTCATCTTTAATTTTCACAGCTTTTTTTAAGAGCACAAAAGGATTTCTTTTTTCTGTTTACTGTCGGAATAAAACCTTAGACTGCTGAGCTAAGGTTTGGATCATGGCATCTATTAACTCTGACCTTAAAATACAAATGGCATTTAAATAGCATGCTGATGGGAAGCTACACCTGTGAGTAGTCAGAGCCTGTGTAGTGAATGAATACAAAGTAATGTTTTACATCAGTTCACTATATGTTTGTGCTGAAGGAGTTTGTCAGCAGCGATCAATGTTTTCTTTTCAGGAGCTTTCAATAAAACACAGGATATGTGATGTAGAATTTAAAATTACTGCTGTAGAGACACTACTTGTCATGTTAATAATTTTAATCACACTGTTTTTTATGTGAACTCCGAATTGTATTTTTAATTGTAAATTGAATTATTTTAATGTCTCAATCTGTTATTGTTCTGCCATAGATCGGCTGTGCCATCATCGCCGGGATCCTTCACTTCTTCTTCCTGGCCTCCTTCTCCTGGATGTGTCTTGAGGGGGTCCAGCTGTACCTCATGCTCGTGGAGGTCTTCGAGAGCGAATACTCCCGGAAGAAGTACTACTACGTGTCTGGTTACCTGTTCCCTGCTATCGTAGTCGGGGTGTCAGCGGCCATCGACTACCAGAGCTACGGGACAGAGAAAGCGTGAGTCCTGCCTTTTTTGCGGAATCCTTGGAAATGCAGAGCAGATAGCGCTGAGTGGGACTCCCTGTTGCGTCCTGTGCGTGTGGCAACGTTTGAAAAAAAAAAACTACTCATCGTTTCTGCCGGCAACTTATATCTGTCTCCGGAGACTTCACCCAAAAAATATTGAGCTCCCTTTTTTGCCAAGGACGGGCAGTCGTTAAATTTTTTATGTCATTTCAGAAAGTGGCTGACGGACTCAACACTGTGGTTTTCCGGGGGTGGGGTGGGGGGGACGTGGGCTACATTAATGCCTCTCTTCTCAAAGACCCTCCTGTGACCTCTTGTTTGTAAATGCTCCCTTAAAGAGAAGAGTGCTGAAAAAGCCTTTTACATAGATTAATGACCATGTCTCAGACCCTGGTCTGACGAGGGGCTACTTCCCTGTGTGTTAATGTTCAGCCTGTGAAGGGAGCGATTGAAAAGACTCCCAAGTTAAATATTGACAAGAAATCACACACTCTGTGTCATTATCCAAAAATGTCAGGACATTCATTTTAACACTGATATTATTTTTCTGCCGTGTGATGCCCCAACCTGAAGTGTGTGTCTCTCCCTCACAGGTGCTGGCTAAGTGTGGATAATCATTTCATATGGAGTTTTATTGGACCTGTCACCTTTATCATCATGGTAAGCTGTTTTATTTTCCTTTGAATCCTGAGACTGACAGAGTGAGGAAGGGACTGAGAGTGTGAGATGAAAGAGATGCCGGAGAGAGATAAAGGAAGTGAGATGGTTGAACTGAGGGGAAAGTCAGCAGGATTTCTTCTCAGAGTCTCTTCGGTGATGACAGGTTAATTTTGCAGCAGAGAAAGATTCCGAGGCATCCTTCAATCCTTCCCCCTCTCTCACCGGCCGACAAGGATCAGGATTTGATAATGTACTTTTTTTTTACGCATTTACACAACTCCCTGTAAAGTCTCGCACTGCAGACGCTGCCAAACGGCCTTCAGGTTTACTGTATTTATGATTAAGGGAAAGAAAAAAGATTAAAAAAATGGCCCCAAGGCTCAATTTTACAGCACATACAGTACGAGATTATACAGCTCCTTTTTTTTATACATACTCTTCAGCATCTGCCTCCTCGTGTGTTTGTGCGCCTGCAGTAAATAGCACATGACAGTGTCGGAGAGAGGAGGAAAAGCAAAGGCACCTCTGTTTGGTCAAGGACCATCAGGGGTGAAGGACATATAGCATATCGTATTGACATATGTCCCATTGAGGCATGCAATTATTTACTGGTCATGACATTATTATCTCCCGCTCCATCAGAGGGGTTCAGAAGAATGAGACCTCGGGGAGTCTTACCTCCCCTCGCAAAAAAATAGGAATAAAATAGCAGGTGGTATTCCTCAGATACAGTATATCCACTCAGCCCACCGCACCATGTATGACTTTGCCCTCGCGCAGCACCGAGGGAAGAGGAAGCTCCACGAACTTGTCTTGCCGCTGTGCAGGGAGGGTGGTATTTGTTCAGGCGCTGTGTTCATTATCCAGCATAATGGTTGGCACTGCATCTACAGATGCAGTGACCTCTGTTGAACATCAAACTGACACTGAAAACAAACTGGAGAGAAGGGGGCACCCATGTCAAACTCCAGCAAGTCTCCGCTCAACCATTGGCAGCCTGCACGGAGCTCCCAAAGTAAAGCTATAGTTCAGCTCTTTGTCTGTGCACTAACAAAATGAATAAAAGATGAATCCGCACACTGGACTGCATTTCACAGTTTCCTAAAAGAGACACGTTGCCACTCGATGTAGCATTTAAAAATGGAGGAGGGAGCTGACAAATGTCTGTGTTGGACAAAAAGCGGAAATAGTGAATTGCTTGTTTCCTTTTTTGTTGTTTTCATTGATTTTTTTGCTCCACCATCGCTTTGCATGTGTGAGCTGATAGCTGAGGAAAAGCTAATATCATATCAAAACAAACGCGCAGCTCCTTGTATCAGCAAATGATTTGTCAGCCGCACAGGAATACGTCTCCCTTCATCTAGACTCAGCCCTCGTTGTTTTCCAGTCGCGTTTCCTCCACGATGACTTGCATGAAAAATGCGTCTGCAGTGGAAGTGATGATCAGGATCCCGGCGGTGATGGCCGGAGAGGTAGAATCATGACCCTGCGAGGAGCTAATGTATTGCAGCAGGGCTAATGTGTGCTCTGGCGTCGCACGCCGCTCCTCTGGTTCCGTGCAACAATTGACTCGAAAAGACAAAGTACTGTGGAAGGGAGCATCTCGGGGGAGTGTGCAGGAACAAGGTTTGTCTACACGATCCGTGACCCTGGCTTCTCTACAAATTGGCTTTGTCCTTGTCAATGAAGGGAGAGAGGGAGGGAAGGAGAAAAGCCACATGAGCAGAAGAGAAAAAAGAGGAGAGGAAACAGAACATAGCCAACCCGGCCATGTTTGCGCCAAGTAACATTGGTGTTGACCTCGGGTGGTCATGCTTTTTTTCCTCATCCCTTTATTTCTTCCCGTACTCTTTTCTTTCCGCTCTTTGCTGAAACGGGTCATAAATACTGACTGAAAACAAAAGCTGGTGGAAGGCATTTAGATCCTTGTTCTGAGGCTGAGGTTCCCCCGTCTCTGGGCACAGGGGGTATTAGCTCCATGAAAGGGGGAACATGGAAGTAATGAGTGGTGGGGGGAGCCATTAGTATGCTTGAGATAGCTTCAACACAAGGCCTCTTGGATCATGACATGTCGCGAGCAGTTCTTATCATCCGGACAGCTCCATCTGCACCTTTAATATTTTATCTGCGGCAGTTCATTTGGAGTTCAGTGTGTACACACACAGTCCACTCCAGGAAAAAGCTTTCTCCTCCGTCCCAGTGTGGCGAGGTGCTTCTGCATGGCTTGCAGTGATGATTCGGAGACAGAGAGACAGAGCGGAGCGTCGAGGCAAAGCTCCGCTCCAGCAGAAAAAAATAAGGTAGTGGGGGGGGCTCCCCAGGGAAGGGCTGCGAAAGCATGTTGGTTGGGGGTGGGAACATGTGCCGTGCTGCTAGGTTACTTTAAAGTACTGTGTCCCTCTCCTCTGTCTCATTGGATCCATGTCACCACTCCAGGCTGTGTGAAAAAGGCTTTTTTTTTCAGAAGTCCTCACCCTCCTGTCCCCCTCCCCAGCTCCCAGCTCTCCTCCCCCCACTGTCTGACTCACGCAGGCGACTGATAGAAATAATGGCTGATAGCTGCGAAACAAAACACAGTTTCAGTGCCGCCTGTGATATGAAAAGAAGGTTCACGATTTTTCTCTTTCTCGTCGTCCCTCTCTTTTGCCGCCTGGGTTATTGTGAGCGGCTGCATGAGCTGATTGCATGTGGAGGGGGTGATGTATTGATCACAGGCAGGTCTTTTGATAGCGGCGTGCACCAGGACCACAGATCATTTCTGCTCAAGAGTGAACGGCCTTGGTCTGAGTCAGGCTCATAAAGGTCATTCGTTTGTTTCATGCCCTTATAATTGCGCCCGCACACTCATTTCTTTTTGTGGAGACTCACCTTGAAAAAAAGCCTCTGTTGTCTTTATTTGTACAGAATTTATTTTCATATTCACATGCCACAGATACAAGGAGCTCACACGTACTTTATTTGTCTGCTGAATTTTTTTGTATCTGTCTGATGCTTTGATATGCACAATTGGAGACACATTTCATTTTTCTCTCTCTCAGATATTCCCTGACATCATTTATACATGGCTGGCTTGCAGTACAAACACAGTCTGGTTCGGCTGCTGTGAGTGCATGTACATGCTGTGTCTGGGACTAGTTTGCCCCAGAAGAAATGTTTTTTGAAGTAAATTATTTGGAGCTTGCTGGCCCTTCCAGTCTTTGTGTTCTGAATCACAGTATTGATTTTTAAGGTAGCGCCTAAACATGGCGCATCGTATCCTTGTCTCAACCTGATATGTACCACTGGCTCCTTAAGATTTAATACATTTGAAGAAGCAGGAGAACGTCACCTCCCCCGCCCTCTCCCCTTTCTCTCTCTTTCATCTCTCCACATGCAAGAAGTGAGGAAACTCTACCTGGTTACCTGGTTTTACCTTATAATATTTCACTGTGTAAAATGAGATGTAGGTTTTTGCTACCAGAGGGGTCTCCTATTTCTCCTGCCTCCTTCATTCCCCTGTGACTTTGCCAGCCGGCTGCTGTGTGGTTGTTTTTTTTCATCCTCTTTTCCCCCCCTTTTTTTTTTTTTTTACAGTGATGGATTTTAATGCATTTCCATGCTCTTATTGATATAGAATGACACTAAATTTGGCGCCAGTCAGCCCGTCTGAGCCTGGCTGGAACGATAGATGTTTATTGGATTAGTCTGTGGACATGCAGAGATTTGAAGGCTCTCCTCTTTTAATATATTTTATAGACAAATTAACAGTTTCTTTTTCCCCTCCCCGCCCATCCCCTCTCCCCCTGTGATATCTTTGAATCGTACATCTCCATGAATTAACACGGCCATTACTCTGCTTTGACAGCTCAATCTCATCTTCCTGGTCATCACAATGTACAAGATGGTGAAGCACTCTACCACCCTGAAACCAGACTCGAGCCGACTGGAGAATATAAAGTAAGTAAAGCGTCTCACACTGAACTACACACAATGTAACACTGGTGCTTTTCTGCCACTGCCCCCAGGAAGAATAAGGCTCTTGAGGTAATGATTTTTTTTTTTTACTTTGCAATATTTTATAAGGAAAAGCATTAGGGCCTTTAAGCCAAGTTTCAGTGCTGGACGTAGCGAGCGAATGATTAAAATATAAGAATACACGTCGGTTTTTTTTTGGAGGGGGTCAGTTTTTTAAGTAATCCACATCAAATGGATTTAACAGAGGGATATTTTATTTTGACTCTATAAAGATTTTAAATGTAATACAGATTTTGACTCAGACTCTTGGCGTGACTTTGCACGTAACGATGACTCCACAGACTGCGAGTCGTCTTTTTGTCCTTTGTTTCGCTCCAAGCCACCAGCCGCAGAGCTGCACTGGCATGACAAACATCACTCTGAAGCTTCAACCCAACTATGAACTGGTGGCTCTGCTGTGGGTGGGGTACAGTGGAACAGCTACCATGTGTGCTCGCTGCTGGAACATATCAAACCCTTTATTTTCCTCATAGATTCCAGCTTCTGAACCCAGAAAAAGAAGAAAAAAATTCCTTCCCAACACAGCCGCAACCACGCGACCACCACCCCACACGCTCTCCGAGTCGCCCTCCACATTTACAATGTGTTGTGCTTCGAGTTTTTCCGAAGCACTAATTGTTTTGTTTTGTTTTTTGCACTCTTGTGATCACAGTATTTATTGCTGTTTACTGCGGGCTGAATTCCAGGGCTGCTTCCATTTGGGGTTATTTGGTTTTGTTGCTCACAGAAGCACAGCATCCCGGAGTCAGAGAACATCTCAGTTATTATATATCAACATCCATAACAAGCTATTTTTATCCACAGTTCTGTTATCTCCTCAATGAATGTGTGCAACATTACAGCACTTTGGTAAAACTGCAATCAGTAAAAACATTATTTGAGCTAGACTCTACTCCCAAGAAAAAACCCCTCAACTTTAACAAGGGAGAATGTCATAACATTAAAGAATAGAGAAGAAAAAAATTAAGCAGAAATAAGCAGCATGGAGAACCCGAGTTTCATCCCTGGATCTAAAATCTTCAACCAATCTCATTGTTTCTTGAGAAACTGAGTATCACACAGATTTTTCTGATGAGGTTTTTACAGTTGAGCACTACCAAACATTTCATTGTGCACAAAAGAGGCAACTTACCTCAAGTCTGTGAACTTCTTTCGTCTGAATAGGAACCTATGACATTGTAGTGCTGATGAGCCAAAGGATGAAGTCTTATGTTATTTATGAAACTAATTCTAAAACTTGAAAGCTCCACATTCCTGATTTTAACACGGTGGTTAGGCTGATCTTCTTTTATTCCCCCTCTGACACGTAGAGGGGGAATATAATAATAATACGATAAAATTATGACTTAATTCTTGTAATATTACGACTTAATGCTCATAAATTAAAATAAAATTCTCATTATATTACGATTTTATTTTAACTATATTATGACTTTACTCTCGTAAAAGTATGACTTCATTCTCACTATAGTACGACCAAAATCGCTACTTTTATTACGACTTTATTCTGGAATTCTAAATGACCCTTATACTCTGCTGTAATCATTAAGACAACCACAACTGAACTGAAACACTGTGGCGCTCAGATTTGATTGATGATTGTTTATCCTGCAGAAATACAATGTGTGTTAATGGCAGTTTCCTTGTGCTGTTTATTTTTCTTTCGGTTTTTGTGCCAAAGTTTGGTTTTGACAGTCGGTTGTGCACTGGTGTCATTGCATGTTGCATGTGAAGGCAAACTTAACCCACACCCTCTCCTTTTCTCTTCCACCACTCTGCTCCTCTCTCTCTCTCTGTTTCTGTTCCGCACCAGTAATTATCGCGTTTGTGACGGCTACTATAATACAGATTTGCCTGGGTAAGCTTTTACTGTACACCTCAGATTATGTTACCCACAGAACATCACCCACTCATACAGTAACACAAATGCAAATTCAACCACAAGACAATGTGCTTTGACCGAATGCTTCAAACAGGATTTTGTAATTGAATCTCCAGCAGGAAAAATACATAGGTTTCAGTTCTTTTCAGACCCTATACTGTAATTGCCTCCCCTGATCTCCCGTGGATCAAAGTTGAAGATATGCCGACTAACCCACGCTGTTCTGCACTCTGATCTAATTGTGTTTCTCTTTTCCTGCTCATCATGCTCTCTAGCTATGAAGATAATAAACGGTTTATCAAGTAAGCACATGTTGCCCAGAAGTCTCCTCCTCAGCTTGTAGTTTATTCTCTCTCCTTTCTTTCGTTTTCTTACTTTGCCGGTTCATCTTCTCCAAACTTGCAGCTTCAAAGCTACTCATCAGCCGTCCATGCGAGTGTTCACTGTCACCCCCGTCCATCATCTTGAAATCCAGTGTTGTTGTTGATGTTGTTGTTGTTGTTATTGTTGTGTGTTTGAGCATTGAACTGTGACCACTGCTGGTGTCTGAAGGCTCCACAGGACCTTCACACACGAAGCTTTGAATCTCTGTTTTTCCTTGAACTCTCTCCACATCTGCCTAGTTCTCCACTTCTAATAACACACTCACTAGATAATATTCACTATATGATAATATTTAATCCTTTTAAACACCCTGTGTTCTCTGATTATGCTGGACTGTATCTTCAAAAAGTTATTACAGAAAAAGCAGATCACGGATTTGCTTCCTTCTCGTCTGTTTGAAGACAGGAGCTGCATTTGGGTTGAGATTGTGTGTGTGTGAATGGAGGGGTGGGGACAGAAGCGTTTTTTGCAAGTTTTGCATACTGTTAGTGATTCAAAATTCCCAGTAGTTATACTGTCACTGAACCTCTCTCATGCTGATGTTGCCCTCGCCTTGTGTTTGTGTTTTCGTTGTGGTTTAGATCCTGGGTCATGGGTGCGTTCGCCCTCCTGTTTTTGCTGGGCCTGACGTGGTCCTTCGGCCTCTTCTTCATCAACGAGGCTTCGATCGTCATGGCGTACCTCTTCACCATATTCAACACCTTTCAAGGAATGTTCATCTTCATCTTCCACTGCCTCCTGCAGAAGAAAGTAAGTCTCTCGTCGTCCGCCGTGCTCAAAGACACGTCGTTTTTTTCTTTCCAGGTTGAAAGGGCCTCTGAATTTTAAGCAGTCGTGGCCATACCTTCATGCTGGCGTGCGGAATTCACCGACCGCCGCAGCGGGCCGATAAGGAAGACAAACACCGCTTGCTTCAGGATCTCGACTAAGTCATATGTAAAGTCAACATTGTATGTAAACACTGTGCTGTTTGCTCACGCAGGTCCGCAAAGAGTACAGCAAGTGCTTCCGCCACACGTACTGCTGCGGTGGGCTGCCGACCGAGAGCTCACACGGTTCTGCAAAGACTTCCACCACACGGACCAGCGCACGCTACTCCTCCGGTACACAGGTAGAGCAGCAGCTTCCTGTATACATACACTCATCATACATGTTGTTTTAAATGCTAAAGTATTAATGCTATAGCTCTCGAGAACACACATGAGCATGTAGGTGTGACACAATAAATGCACGTCATGTTTCTTGGCCCCAGAGTCGGATCAGGGGACACAAAACAAGATGCCACATTTTTACAAGCAGCATCTGCCGTACTGCATGAGTAACTCTTTCCTGTTCTGCCCCTTTAGCGCTCGCTTTTATCTTTTCTCTCACTAACGTCACATGCATGGGAAAACGGCACGGCACTGTTTAAAGAGCAATGCAAGCTAATTTTACTGAGGGGAAAGATGAAGTTATAAAAGAACAACATATTTGCTTTATCCCCTTTGTTATTAAAGGCTAATAGAGCTTATTAAAAGATAATACAGCCAGATGTATTTTGCCTATAGGGAAACATTACACTTTAATCTCAAGCCTTAAACAAGATACTGCAGCTCAAGTCATTTTAAAGTTGATTTAAAATAAGAAAAACATGAGCTGTATTCAGACATGAACTCCAGAACTTCAGTGCTTAGTTTCGTTCCCTCTCAAGCTTCTTGAATCTTGAATCTTGAAAATGTCCACACAATGGAACACGGAGACTTTCCGGAGTTTGTCTTCCACGTATGAACAACGCAGCAGGAAATTCTCCTGTCAGACGCCTTCACAACAACAAAGAAATCTCAGCTGCAGTGATCACATACTTTTATTTATCACCAAAAGCTCTCAAATCTCGTCTTTCCAAGTTGACGTCTTCGTCGGCATCTTCTACGTGTATGGCTCCTCTTTTTTTAGTTTTTTTCAGTTATGCGTCACAAGTTGTTGTAGTTGGACATTATCCGTAGTTTTTACCAGGGGGGCTGGCAGGAAGAATGTCTGCGGCAACTGACTCAGACATTTGCATTTTCACATTCAGCCCCGTCAGATAAAGAGATAATCCGGAGTTCGGTGCATGTCTGAAAGCAGCTATACAGAGGAAGTCGACATCAGCGCTGCCCTCGCTTCGCAGTACATTAGCAGGCGTGCGAGGGGAGATGTAGTCAGGAGTATGTTCGTGTAGGAGATGAATGAAAGTTGATCTGAAAGGTGAGCGGGCTTGTTTAAAGTCCTAATGACTGTCCCTTGTTGACCTGACAGAGTCGTATCAGGAGAATGTGGAATGACACCGTAAGAAAGCAATCCGAGTCCTCGTTTATCTCAGGTGACATCAACAGCACCTCCACCCTTAACCAAGGTCAGTTCACACCTCATTTCTCTCCACATGCACATCTATGCACACATTTCATCATTCCGCTAAAAATACCTCCAATGATCTCACACCGCCGGACAGGATCCTTCTCTGGTAATCATAATAAATGCCTCCTGCTTGAAAAGACAGAGCAGTGCGGTTTGAAAAAAAAAAGAGATCCAGGCCTTTAGTTTAGTCTCTCTATTCTGTCCTGCCAGTGAAGGATTACAAAAATCCTTCCTCAAATACTCTGTGCGCTGTCATCCTGGCTGGTAACGTCACTCTCAAATTGAGGCAAGGCTCGGGGAGTGTTTTTATCTAAGTGCTGCCTGTCCGTAGTTCATGGCCAAGCTCAGGGGAGACGGAGACAAAACTAGAGACAGCAAAAGGGGAAATAAAGTTTTATTTCAGGACAATCCTAACACGCAGAGAGAGAGAGAGAGAGAGGGGCCTTTTGTTGCCTGGCATACAGTGGCCTCTTACTTTATGAAGGAAGGAGGGAGGAAAAAAAAACTGTCATTTATTATTTAACTTGAGCACAAATATGATGATGAGAAGATGATGTTCAACTCTGGCTGACCTAGAGCGCTTAGTGCGTTGTTAGACTCTCTGCTGCCTCTGAAATGGCTTTCCAAGCATGCGAAGGAAAAGAGGGTTATACACTGAGGTGGTTTCACTTTGCTCTTCTCCTCCTCTGACTCCTGTCGCTGCTGCGCTTTCCCATCGCCTTCTTTTTTCCCTTTTCTCAAATTCCACAAGGTGAAAACATTACATTCAAAGATTCGAAGCATATTCTGCCTCGGTGACGATGTAGAAGCACAATTTGTTTCCCTACAGTTCCATATCCGGGGGATCTTAATGTAAAGGTTGGATATTGATCACTCTGGGGTGTAATAGCCTAGTTACCCTGGAGAGTTCGAGCACTAACGCAGGGCTCTATCTCCTGGAAGCACTTCCCTGTCATTAAATTCGTCCCCGGAGAAATCCCAACATGACAGATGGCATTTAACACAGGTAATAAATGACAGGAGAACACACGGCAGACCGGGGAAAACTCAAAGGCAGATAAGCTATTTGGAAAAAGAAATTACAAATGTGAGCGTAAATTAAGAGTTTGATACTAAAACTTGGAAGGATTTTGCTTTTTGACATTGGGAAGATTTTATATTTGGATCTAGTTAAAACAGGAAAACCTCAGAGCGCGATCAAAAAGGGGATATTTTTGAGAAATGATATTTGCACAAAACACGAGGTAAACCTGACTCGTGAAAAGCAGAGATGACAGGATGCAATAATTAGCGCAATGTCTTTAAAATGTCTTTATGAATGTAATCGGTTCTTAACGACCTGCCACACAAATGAGCTTGAAAAATGAAGTACCTGCTTTTTAAACTGTGATGAAGGCCAGCAATTCTTTTTGGCAGCCTGCAGACGTAGCTGGTTTGCTGCTTCTCAAAACTTTTCCTCCACATTCTCGACTTTAAGATAAAGCGCCTAGTTTCAGATGTTTTTTGTGCCAGATACCCGGGATGACGACACACACGCCTCAACAGACAAAATCCCTCATCCCTCATTTCTCTTCTTCATGACACTTTCACTGTTGGCTACGCTCTGCAACTTATCTTCTCCTCTTCTTCTGTCTCGCCCCTTCTTCCAGGAATGACCGGGAATTATCTACTAACAAATCCTCTTCTCCGACCACAAGGCACTAACAACCCTTATAACACCTTGCTGGCTGAGACAGTCGTGTGTAACAACCCCACGGCTCCAGTGTTTAACTCGCCAGGTGTGCTTACTTAATACTTTCATCATGCATTCAGGCTTTATTCTTTCTTTTCTGTCTCTCCCTCTTGATTTCTCATGTTGAGGCCAAATTAAACGCATGGTGTTCTGCAGTATCGCCTTTCCTTCTGAATCACTGTCTCCCAAATACTTGATACAGCACTTAATGTGTGTGTGTGTGAGAACATGCACAGGTTTTCTGGTGGGACGGAGATTTTTGTGGTTTGTTTTCGATCTGGCCTCTCCGTGTTCTCATATTTCTCAAACTCTGAGCGGGACATAATGATTAAGATGGTAAAGAGATACTGCACATTCTGCATTCAGATAATGTAAACAGTGGTGTAGACTTGAAGCTACAGTGTAAACTGCATGATTATTAAGATTTATGTTCCAGAGATATCAGGTGATTTATGACTTTTTGTGTTTTAGTGGGAGTTTTCCCTTTAACACTTGTTAAACCACAAGAAAAGTCTATGTAGCTCAATACAGATCTACTTAATGCAACTTTTGCATTAAGTTGTGTATGTGTAGATATGTTTGTTGATAGCTGATACACACAAGCACATTTGTCATGTAAGCACATATCCCACTGTAACGACTGTGCTGTGATTATGTTTGCTCTTCTGTTTCGTAACTGAAATGGGATTTCTCTGTGTTTTGTGCTTCTCCCCTGTGCTTCCCTCTAGTGACCTACAGAGAGACAAGTATGGGAGTAAAACTTAACTTTGCCTATCAAATGTAAATTTTTTCAGCATGCTTATTTTTAAAAAAAACAGCCAACACCCTGGCACAATCACTGGTTTACTTTAGGCCATTAACACACACTCAGTGAGCAAGTGGTTCACAAAATTATCTGCCTAAATTCTACTAATCTGAACAGAAATTAGAACAAAAAGATCTCTCCAGGCGTTTCTCGTAATCCTCCAGATCTGACAGCTCTATCGCAAATACCCATTACTCTGCTTCTCTGTCTCTTCTGCCTAATTTCTGGTTTAACGGATCAAAAATGTTTTTCTGGAAGAAAGGAGCATTTATCAGAATGGTTTCTTTACCCTTTCTTTCTTTTAAAATTTCTTTTCTTCTTTCTTTGTTTTCCTCCTGTGGCACCCAGCAGTCTCAGTGTCCAGTATTATTCCCCTCACACCTTTGCAGACAACACCTGTCTGGACACTAAATTGCCTCCTAGCAGGCACAAACACTTGGATGTCATGGCAGCGGCTGTTTATTTGCCCCTTTTCGTCTTTTTAAAAAATATCTTTCTTGTCATTTTTATCTCTCTAAATCTGGACTTTTAACATCCTATTGCAATTTCAGTCAAAGTCAAATATCCCATTTGTCTTAATTTTAATGTCTAGATCTGTTAAGAACACATAGCAGAGCACATTCTCCCCTTTATCTCCCCACTCAATCATTGCATAACTAATATTTATCTTTTTTCGCCGCTGTTTTCCATGACCTCCATGCTTTGAGAAATTCCTAACATGACCGTGTCTGACCCCGTCTGCGGCTGTGTTATTCTTGAGCTGTTCTGCTCGTGACCGGGGGTCTCACTGGGAACTGTCACTGTGACGGATGCCAAGTCCTGGGCTGCGGGCAATCTCTGACCTTTTGCCAGCTTTGGGTGCACAAGCTGCCAACTAATGGACAAAAAAAATGTCTACAGATATAAAAAAAAAACCAACAAAAAAAAAGAAGAAAATCGAGGCTACGAAAAAACAAGTAGCTGTTGGCATTTAAATCATGAAAGTGAAAGCTGTTGAATGCTTGCTGATTTCATTTGCTGAACCCTTGCTCTTGCTAAGTTGCAGTTAAGACGTTTTAATTTTTGTTTTGTTATTCTTTTTGAGTGATTCTTTCTCCATGTTACAATAAATCATTTTACTTTCTTTTGTACATCAGCTGCTCTTAGACCAGATAGCCTGAGCAGACAGACATGATGTGAGTTGTCTAAAGTGAGTCTTTTCACCTGCTGTGTGTGGTGATGGTGGAGTGCTGCTTGTGGGCTCCCCTTGTAGTGGGAGCAACAATGGCTGTCCCATGTTGATACATGACTACTTTCCCTTTTTTCTGTCCATGTTATTTTTTACCCATCTCCGTCCTTTTTCTTTCTTTCCTTCGGCACCACCTATTAGTTGCTAGACAACCTGTAAGTGTTGTAGCTTGCCCGTCTGTGGCTTCATACTTGTGGACATCTACCTTTGCCCGGTGTGTTGTGATGTTGATTACAGTTTGTTTTTTCTTAATGTTGTTTGGGATCTTTTTCATTGCTTTGTCACTTTTGTGGCAGACTAAAACGCACAGTGCTCTGCTTATTTTGAAGCAATGTCTAAAAAAGGGAAAGTCAAAATGTATATATGAGAAAGTAAAATGATTTCTCATTGCCTATAATGCATGCCTGTATATTGTATGTTAAGGATTGTGCCTACTAACGGATTTATGGCATGGCTTGATTTGACTTGAGTTCTCGTTGTGAAACTGCATCCTGAACAGCATTAAACTTGGTTGTTTCCTTCATGCTCATTGGTTGTGACTAATGTAAAATCCTCTCACGTCTTCCTCTCTTTGCAGGGCACTCGCTGAACAGTGCGGTGAGGGATACAAGTGCAATGGATACTCTACCGCTAAATGGTAACTTTAATAATAGCTACTCGCTCCGCAATGGTGACTTTGGCGACAGTGTGCAGGTAGTAGACTGTGGCCTCAGTCTGGACGATGCTGCCTTCGAGAAAATGATCATCTCCGAGCTAGTACACAACAACCTGCGTGCCTGTAACAAAAGCCACCAACAGCAGCAGCACCCAAGTTTACACCACCCGCCCCACCACCAGCAGCCTCCGCAGTACCACCACCACCATCACCACGTGGAGCGGGCTCCGCCCAAGGTGACGGTCATAGGGGGCAGCAGCAGCGAAGACGACGCCATCGTAGCCGACGCTCCGTCTTTGGTGCACACGCGTGACACAGTGGGCCTCAAGCTGCACCATCAGCAGGAGCTGGAGGCACCGCTCATCCCCCAGCGGACTCACTCTCTTCTGTACGCACCCCAGAAGAAGGTGAGGACCGACGGGGGAGTTGACACCTTTGTCAGCGAGCTGACACCCACCAACCCTGACGATAGTCTGCAGTCCCCAAACAGAGACTCCTTGTACACTAGTATGCCTAATCTTAGGGACTCGCCTTATCCAGAGAGCAGCCCCGACGTGGTGGAGGACCTGTCGCCGTCTAAGAGGAGCGAGAATGATGACATTTACTACAAGAGCATGCCTAACTTAGGGGCCGGACACCAGCTCCAGGCCTATTACCAGATAGGCCGAGGGAGCAGTGATGGTTACATTATTCCTATTACTAAAGACGGCTGCATCCCTGAAGGCGACGTGCGGGAAGGACAGATGCAGTTAGTGACAAGCCTTTAAATGTATTCAAATCATCCCCAAACCTCTTCCTGCACTTTTGCAGCCCCCTTCCTCCTGGAGGACACGCTAGGGAAGGAAAGAGAAGCGAGGGGAAGAGAAGAGTTTGTTTTATGTTTGAGGAGAAGTCTAGAATCCCCGTCACTCACGTCAGCTATTTAGAAACCTTCCCTTCCCCCCATCTCCATCGTCATCTCCTTTCCCCCATAAACGCGCCACTGTTCCCACCATCCTCGCAGACCAACAGACTTGGCGCACAGCGATTGCATTGCAGAGTTTTAATGAGACTGTACATAAAATACAGAGTCAGATTTCAATTTTAAAGACACAAGCCAACTATGTATTTAAATGTGCTGCTGCTGTTGAATTATTGAGAAAAATTTAAGGTACGAAAAAAATAAAAGAACAAAAAAAAGAAGGAATAATTACCATCTCCATCAGATCAGCAGTTGACCCGGTCTAATTGTTGTACATACACTCCCAAACATCCTCGTTAAATCCAGTTTTTTTGTTTGTTTGTTTTTTATTGTGAACAAAACAACACCCCTGGACCAGGACCCGGACAATATTTGTGAAACTTTCCTTATCGGTCTGTTAGAAAAGGAATTGAAGGTCCTGGAGTCGTTCACCATGAAGTTTGGATTGTATAACCACTAGCAATCAAGCCCCTGGCCTTATATTTTCTCAACTGTACATTGAACTGTTGTCAAGGAAAATGGCTGAAATATATATTTTGTTGTATTGCTAGTGTAAAATAAAAATTCATGGGAAAAAACGTAAATATGAAGAAACCTTTTAATTGCAAAATTTTACGTTTGAGAGACTATTGTGTAGAAGTTGCACATATGTTATACAGTGTGTTTATGGTTCCCACACTTCATTCATGGTAGTACAGTTGATCATAAGAAGCTTCTGAAAAGAGTGGAGGAGTCGACAGATTTCAAAGATGCATCACCACAGTTTTTCACTTGTGAACAGTGTTTTTTGCTTAATGAGTTCCATTGATACCACCCATCGCAATATGTTTATTCAGCATTACTTTAGTAGAATGGGGGGACGCAGACCCCCCCCCAGTGAAAGTGATTTATGCATTGCACAGTTTTTTTGTGTAATTTTGAATGAAATAGATCTTTTTAAACAGTCACGGCAGAGTGATGGGAGAAGCAGCAGCGAGTTTCTATCATAAATGTGGTTCTTCTGCCTGGTTATGGACATTTAATTTATTTAAAACTTTCCAAAAGATAAGTGGGAAATGTGTGAATATTTTCCAGCACTGGTATACATGCTGTACTGTAGCTCATGTTTTTTTATGTAAACATGTTACCAAGGGGCTCATCACTTAAGACTGATGTAAAGTTCAACACTTGTTTAACAAATAAATAAATGTGAGATTTTTTGTCAAATGCCAGTTGCTTTTTAATGCTTTCTGTTTTTGGTACTATTTGAGAAAAAAAAAGAAACAGGCTTAATTATTTTTGCTATGGACAAAAAGACACTTTTGACTCAGGTTATAAGTAAAGTCCCGAGCACCTTAAAGGTAAAATGGTGATTTTTTTTGTTCCCTCTGGGATTTATTTGCTTTTTTTTTTTGTTCTGCTTTTCTTCAATCGCTGCAGCGTAGAGCTCATTTCACCATATGTGTTAGAGAAGCCAAATCTTTCCATGTGATTCAAAGATGAGAAACTCAGGTAGGAAAATTGCATTGTAAATGTTCCTCTGTGTGGTTGTAACACTAATAAAGGTTCAAAATGTCACTGGTTCACAGCATCGTCCACTTAGTATATTATTGAATGAGTACTATAGTCCTGGCACCATTAAGAAACCTGGCGCAATAGAAACCTTGTCTTTAATGCCACGTGGGAGTGGAATCACATCCATGGACCTAACAAGGGGTCAATGTTACACTTGGCTGCGGTTGTAGAAATATATTACATATAATATGTCCGCATATGACATGTATTTGCTCTAATTACTGCCTGCTGCTGCCGGAGCCCACAGTCAGTTCCTGTGCGGCTTTATGCCTCAGGTAGGCTAATGCTAATTTATGAAGCATTTTAATATCACACCAGAGTGACAGCTCTCTGCAGGGTGGATAGAAATTACACTGTTTAGCATTTGGTATGAAGGAAATGACTCAGAAGTTCGCAACAACAACAAAAAAAAAACACTTTATAACAGAGCTGGTGCACATAATGCTGTGTGGGCTGCGTGTTGTTTTGACTTTTCTTTTTTCAACAATTATGTGACATTTTCTGCAATTATCTGAGGCTTCGGATCGTCACAAAGGAATTTTTCTTTTTTTGAGATTTCACCCGTTGAACGTCAGTTAGGAAAAAAGTGTTGAAGTGATTGTTGACTGTTGAAATGGCAGACTTAGTGATGTGCATGATAAGTGAGGAGGAGAAACTGATTTTCATCCTGTATTGAACAACATGCAACACATTGATTTGTCTGAGAACGTGTAAAGTATCTTTTTTTAATTTGATATATTCTGCGAAACAATTATGAATCGCATGTAAAACTGTAACAAAAATAACAATAATAACACTCAGTGGGGTGCCTACCTCTGCCAAGGCCCAACAGTTCCCTTATGAAACCATGTATAAATTCACCAGATCTGGATTATTGGATCTGCACCAAAATGCACACACTCGTAAATGTCAGTACCATAAATATGCCTGAATTTTCTTCATCTAGATTTGTGAATTTTACTCTGAGAAAACAACAAAAACATTGAAAAACACCATTTGTCACAATGAAAAATAAAGTGTAGAAATAATCCCTGGATCTAACCCTAATACAGATCCGCACCAAAATTGTACAGATTCTTCCCTGAGCCAAACCACATCCTTCCTCAAATACAGATCAAACCAGACATACACAATGGAGGTAATAAGCCAAACCACAAAATCGTATAAGACAATCCACTGGTGTAAAAACATTAAGGAGAATTATCGCGCTGCAGGTTTGTCTTTGTTCTCTGACGATAAATCATTCTCCACCTCTCACCAGCTTTATCTCTTCAACTGAAATAGAAACGTTAAGAGTCAGTCGTCCCTCTCAGACAAACAAATAACTGCCCCCCCTCTTCGTCACCCCTTTCTCTAACTGCTCTCTAACTTTATTTTCGTTATTAAGTGCAGGGAAATATGATACTCGCATCAGCTATTTGTCTGCGACAGGGAATGTGGACTCGGCACCCTCCGGCTTTGCGTGTGGTCCTCTCACCGTGCAGGAGCCTCTCTAATTCACCATCTATTGCTCAGGGAGAGACTTGCCCTTTGTCAAACATTGATTCAGAAGTAGGCCAGGAGCCGAGGGGCCGACTCGCTCCTCTGTGGGAGCATCCGAGCTCTCGGCCCCTCGGCTCTGGAAACCGAGCGAGACAACACTGTCAGCAGAAACGGAGTGAAACTGCAAAAGACTATTTGTGATTGTCAAGTCAGAAGTAATTTTCAGGATCCAAGGAATTTCCGTAGGATATGATGCAAGTGCATGAAAGAAGTTTTTTCTCTTTTCTCCAAAATCCCAAATTGCCCTGAATCTAAATGTCTCCGTGTCCTGTTGGTGAGACGGAAAATAAAGCTTTTCCTGAAAGCACTTTTGGTATTTTGGTCACACAGAGATTTCATAAAAAAATCATTAGATCAACTGTGACAAGCTTCATTAACTTAAATTAAATAACAATTATGTGCTTTTAATTAAAGTTCATCACCACAGTTTTACATTAAAAAACAAGAAGGAATGCTTTAATATATTTTGTAAGCCTCCAACCCAAATAATATAAAATGTGGTTTGAAAATATACAGTTTTTCTACAAGTCCTCATTCTTGGATTTGTTGAAAGTTCAGTTGAAGTTATATTTCAAACACTTGGGAATTTGTCTAAGGTTATCAATAGTGGCTGCAATTTAGTTTCCTTTGGCACGACTCCTGTGAACGCAGAACACTGCCAATTATAGATGCCATCACTGTGGATGAAAGCAGTTGTGTACATGCAAAGGAAAACCTCTCAAGCCACAAACAGTATAACTGGCAGCGCAAAAGTAACTTCCCAAAGTCTTGAAGTCAAAGGGGACCCTTTAACTGCTCACGCTTTTCTTCACGCTGCCTCTTTTGTCCTGTCCCCAACTTCAAATGTGCAGATTTGTGGCCCATGGGCGACTTAGATCCGGTCCCGTTGAGGTGAAAAATCCAATTAACCTGCAGCTCCAGCTGCCTCCGTTATAATCCCTTCCCATAATTATGAAATTACCAGATGCAGGATTTCAAATGAAAAAAGGATGAGAGCGACTGGCTCAGAAAAAAAAAGATGAAATAAAGCGTTCCCTGCCAGTATACAGAGTTCCAATTTACCTCAAGGGGCGAACAGCTAATTCTTATGACTGGGTTTTAAGGTGAGACCTGCAAAAGTCCTTGTAATCAGAATAAGAAATATCCCAACAAAAACATCAGGAGGCCTGGATCTTCAAATAGTCATTGAGATAAATGGATGGGCTCCTGCTTGTTATGCATGCACCACATTCAAAGTGACAGCATAAATACACAAAATAAGTCTAGTCTACGGCTACACCCATTGATACAGGACACAAAAAACACTCTGGGAAATTGAAATCAAGATTAAATTATAAAATATACAATGTAAATATTGTTTGATACTTTATTTGTGACTGAATTTAAAAGTAATTGTGTACAGCGCCGCTGTGCCGTCCCCTAACAATGTTACCAGGGTTCTGCCTGGCTGAGCTCTTCAAAGACTTGTGGACTTTTAATTTAAGTTGTGCACTGGTTAATGAACTTTGCTTCTGTGTATTTGGATTCATACTCTCTGTTTAACCATTTCTCTGCCTCAGTTGAATTCTTTTCTTGTGATCCCTTATGTTGTGTCATTTCCTGCTTTATCTTGAACTTCACTTCCTGTGTTGGTTACCTCACTTCCTGGTGTCTCTTGCACCTGCAGCCTGATGTGACCCTCCTTCACTTATATCATCTCCGTGTTTCTCTCTTGTTTTGGTCACTTTGTGTTTTTCCACATGAATTCTCCTCATGTTTCACTTTTCTTTTATGGATGGAACTCATGTTGCTGTTTGCCTGACGCTGAAAACAGTAAGCCTGTTTTGTTTCTTCTCATTAAATTCATTAAACTAGTACAGTCCCTGTTCTCTTGATCTTGAATGAGTTAGCTCAGCCTGTGTTTATGCTCTGGTGCTACTCCAGAATTATTCCTTGTCATTAGTGAGTCCTCCTCAAACAGTTCCACAATATACTGTCACTTTTTATTGTCTGTGTGCTGGATGTTGTGAGCAGATGTTTTTATTTAGTCTATGGTTCAGAATAAAGTTAGTAAATTCTGTGTTCATCCCACCTGGTATATCTGCAATGAAGATTTTATATTCCATCTTTTCATTATAATGAAACTGCATTGGCTTTTTTACTGTTAAGGTGTGTGGCTTTTTATATACGTTTGAATGGTCATTGGATTCACTAGCTTCTGCGCCTGCATTCGGTCCTTAGCTAAACATGACAAATATACAGCAGGTTAGCAAAGTCGTATATAACAAGACCTACTGTGTGTTGTGTTTGGAGGCCATAGGCTGTAGGAAACATTTCAACACTGAGCTACTGTTGTACGTAAAACAAGTAATTTAATTTTCTACTATTAACTTTTACTTTCTCAAAACACAAACCGTCTAAAACCTCCAGTAAGTAGAACACTTTTTCATCCTGGGGCCAGTTGAGCTACGTCGAGATGGAGGATATATTGAGATCCTTATTGTGTCAGTTAGAGAAATAGTTGAATTTCTCCCTCTGTCCAATATTATTCACTGACTCATTAAGTCCATAATATTTCCTGCTATTAGATGCAGCACTTAAAACATAGAAATATCTACTGCAGTGTTATTTGATAGTGGTCCAGACCCTCGTGAAATGTAATGAGTTACACATTGTTGCTCAGTAAACTGGATTAATGCTTCCTGTTTTTCCTGCGTTCAGTTCCTTGGCTGCAGAGACTCCATCTCATCAGTAACTCTAACATTTGTCTGATAAACTCATTGGCACTTGCAGTGGGGAAGCCTCGGGCAATAACGATGGGATCTCCTGCCGTGTACAAGCTTCTACAGGCCAGTATAGATAACTCCCACTCGCACTTCACCTACTGTCCGCCCAGGCCCATGCAAACTAACCCATTATGCTGCTGAATTCACTCTGCATCAGTTTCTACGCTCATCATTCAGTGGAGAAGAGAGGAAACATTTAAGAACTTAATGGCTGCTCACCTCAGCCTCACAACTACACTTCTTAAAGGTAACTGTTTCCATTTTTACTCTGAAGAAGCTGTTATTTTAATAAGCACTCACACATTTATAAGGCTAGCAAATATCTGAACATGTGCTATAATACAG